TTGAGTCATGGCTGTTAGGTCACCCTGATTCTGTAGTGGTTGTTGATACATTGTTGTTTTTGTTGTTGTTGTTGTTGTTGTTGTTGTTGATATGTTGTTTGTAAACAGACATGATGAGGATTCTCTTTGTGTCTCTGTCCAGTGGGTAGAGAGTCTGCCTGGAGACCACCTCTGTCCCCGTCCAGTGGGTAGAGAGTCTGCCTGGAGACCACCTCTGTCTCAGTCTAGTGGATAGAGAGCCTGCCCCGAGACCACCTCTGTCTCAGTCCAGTGGATAGAAAGTCTCCCCGAGACCACCTCTGTCTCAGTCTAGTGGATAGAAAGTCTCCCCGAGACCACCTCTGTCTCAGTCTAGTGGATAGAGAGTCTCCCCAAGACCAACTCTGTCTCAGTCTAGGGGATAGAGATTCTTACCCGAGACCACCTCTGTCTCAGTCTAGTGGATAGAGAGCCTGCCCCGAGACCACCTCTGTCTCAGTCCAGTGGATAGAAAGTCTCCCCGAGACCACCTCTGTCTCAGTCTAGTGGATAGAAAGTCTCCCCGAGACCACCTCTGTCTCAGTCTAGTGGATAGAGAGTCTCCCCAAGACCAACTCTGTCTCAGTCTAGGGGATAGAGATTCTTACCCGAGACCACCTCTGTCTCAGTCTAGTGGATAGAGAGCCTGCCCCGAGACCACCTCTGTCTCAGTCCAGTGGATAGAAAGTCTCCCCGAGACCACCTCTGTCTCAGTCTAGTGGATAGAAAGTCTCCCCGAGACCACCTCTGTCTCAGTCCAGTGGATAGAGAGTCTCCCCGAGACCACCTCTGTCTCAGTCTAGTGGATAGAGAGTCTCCCCGAGACCACCTCTGTCTCAGTCTAGTGGATAGAGAGTCTCCCCGAGACCACCTCTGTCTCAGTCTAGTGGATAGAGAGTCTCCCCGAGACCACCTCTGTCTCAGTCTAGTGGATAGAAAGTCTCCCCGAGACCACCTCTGTCTCAGTCTAGTGGAAAGAAAGTCTCCCTGAGACCACCTCTGTCTCAGTCTAGGGGATAGAAAGTCTCCCCAAGACCACCTCTGTCTCAGTCTAGTGGATAGAGAGCCTCCTGAAGACCACCTCTGTCTCAGTCTAGTGGATAGAGAGCCTCCTGAAGACCACCTCTGTCTCAGTCTAGGGGATAGAGAGCCTCCTGAAGACCACCTCTGTCTCAGTCTAGTGGATAGAGAGTCTCCCCGAGACCACCTCTGTCTCAGTCTAGTGGATAGAGAGTCTCCCTGAGACCACCTCTGTCTCAGTCTAGGGGATAGAGAGTCTCCCCGAGACCACCTCTGTCTCAGTCTAGTGGATAGAGAGTCTACCCCGAGACCACCTCTGTCTCAGTCTAGTGGATAGAGTCTCCCCGAGACCACCTCTGTCTCAGTCTAGTAGATAGAGAGTCTCCCCGAGACCACCTCTGTCTCAGTCTAGGGGATAGAGAGTCTTACCCGAGACCACCTCTGTCTCAGGCTAGTGGATAGAGAGTCTCCCCGAGACCACCTCTGTCTCAGTCTAGTGGATAGAGAGTCTCCCCGAGACCACCTCTGTCTCAGTCTAGGGGATAGAGAGTCTTACCCGAGACCACCTCTGTCTCAGGCTAGTGGATAGAGAGTCTCCCCGAGACCACCTCTGTCTCAGTCTAGTGGATAGAGAGTCTCCCCGAGACCACCTCTGTCTCAGTCTAGGGGATAGAGAGTCTCCCCGAGACCACCTCTGTCTCAGTCTAGTGGATAGAGAGTCTCCCCGAGACCACCTCTGTCTCAGTCTACGGGATAGAGAGTCTCCCCGAGACCACCTCTGTCTCAGTCTAGGGGATAGAGAGTCTCCCCGAGACCACCTCTGTCTCAGTCTACGGGATAGAGAGTCTCCCCGAGACCACCTCTGTCTCAGTCTACGGGATAGAGAGTCTCCCCGAGACCACCTCTGTCTCAGTCTACGGGATAGAGAGTCTCCCCGAGACCACCTCTGTCTCAGTCTACGGGATAGAGAGTCTCCCCGAGACCACCTCTGTCTCAGTCTACGGGATAGAGAGTCTCCCCGAGACCACCTCTGTCTCAGTCTACGGGATAGAGAGTCTCCCCGAGACCACCTCTGTCTCAGTCTACGGGATAGAGAGTCTCCCCGAGACCACCTCTGTCTCAGTCTACGGGATAGAGAGTCTCCCCGAGACCACCTCTGTCTCAGTCTACGGGATAGAGAGTCTCCCCGAGACCACCTCTGTCTCAGTCTACGGGATAGAGAGTCTCCCCGAGACCACCTCTGTCTCAGTCTACGGGATAGAGAGTCTCCCCGAGACCACCTCTGTCTCAGTCTACGGGATAGAGAGTCTCCCCGAGACCACCTCTGTCTCAGTCTACGGGATAGAGAGTCTCCCCGAGACCACCTCTGTCTCAGTCTACGGGATAGAGAGTCTCCCCGAGACCACCTCTGTCTCAGTCTACGGGATAGAGAGTCTCCCCGAGACCACCTCTGTCAGTCTACGGGATAGAGAGTCTCCCCGAGACCACCTCTGTCTCAGTCTACGGGATAGAGAGTCTCCCCGAGACCACCTCTGTCTCAGTCTACGGGATAGAGAGTCTCCCCGAGACCACCTCTGTCTCAGTCTACGGGATAGAGAGTCTCCCCAGAGACCTCTGTCCTGGTCTTCTCTTCTTTTTTTGTCAATATCCATGACAGTTCCACCTCGGTTAAAAAAGGTTATGGCTTGTTTAGATTTAATTATGTCATAAATTCGGCAACAGGGTCGGGGGATATAGCCACGTTAGTGGCAAACTCATGTTTTTTCTCTATTTACAACTAAGTTTGATTCTTTACAGAATTTTTCAAGTTCATTAATTTGCTTTTGCAAACCAATCACTGTCGAGGAGAAATGTGTGACATCATCTGCATACAGCAACAGAAATAATTCCGTAAGATCTGGATGTGACTGTATACCATGGGAGCAATTTTCTTGTATTTGAGTAGCTAATTCATTAATGAAAAAGGAAAATAGAAACGGACTCATTATACAGCCTTGTCTAACACCTAAATCAATAGTAAAACTTTCTGACAGTTCGTTATTAGTCTCACGCAGGCTTTGACATTGGTGTATATACTTCTCAAAAGATTACTCATTTTCAAGCTAATCCCGTGCGATTCTAACAGCGTCCATAGTTTTGTTCTATCTACTCTGTCAAACGCCTTTGAAAAATCAACGAAAAGTGCATAAAACATTTTCCACCTCTTTTACTCTTAGACATTTCTCTATTAGACTCTGTAGTGTAAAAATATGGTAGAATATTCCTCTCACTCACTCACTCACTCACTCACTCACTCACTCACTCACCCACCCACTCACTTATTCACCCACCCACCCACTCACTCACTCACTCACTCACTCACTGTATATCGAGTGTTACATAACAACGACTTACAGGGGCTCAGGTGGCCCGGTCGTCTGAGGCGCCACGATTTGCTGTGCAGAGTTGCATCCCTTGGGCACTCCAGAAGCAAAAGATTGTGGGTTCGAATCCCAGTTCCCCCCCGATTATGTTTCTAATGTTTTGTCAGCACCATACCCGTGCTCGTAGGTTTCACTGAAGTGGTAAATGTCTAAGACCTGCATCACTTCGGGCTTTCCTCCCACATTAAGCTGACACGCCGTGATATAACTGGAATACTGTTAAAGACCTCCTCTGTCCTGGTCTAGTCGAAAGAGAGTCTATCCCGAGACCGCCTCTGTCTCGGTCTAGTGGATTGAGTGTCTGCTTTTTTATTCCCTTTCTGCATTTTACCAAAAGACATTGAAGATGGTACTTGTTACCCTGCTTGGTGGTCTGCATGATGAGGGTAAAACTGGTCAGCTCAGAGTCTGTGGAATGTGTCTGCGTAGAGTATCCATGTTTAACTGTGACGTAGTATCTCAGTGGGCTATCATTACAAATCCATCCTTAGTCTGGACTAGTTCAAGCTGACATATCTGCGCACTTGCACTTAGTGGTATAAGTGAAATATTATCTTGTTCTAGTGTGAAGAGGTTTATGTCTGGTTTGTGAAATTTTAGGATTGAGATCTCTTCTTCACATCGACCAATAAACCTGTGAAGACTGGGGAATATTGCTAGGTGTGGTGTTAAACAACAAACAAACAAACAAACACATCGACCAAAAGGAATTCCTATTTTGCCAATGTTGACAAAGTATAAAATATCTGTTGAAAGTTTCCAAACTATTCACAAGGTGCAACATGCTGGGACTAGAGCAGAGGAGGAGTGTTGTAGCTCACTGAGTTATATCCCCTTTTTACATAGAACAGAGGAGGAGTGTTGTAGCTCACAGAGTTATGTCCCCTTAAACGTAGAGCAGAGGAGGTGTGTTGCAGCTCGCAGGGTTATGTCCCCTTTTCCATAGAGAAGAGGAGGAGTGTTGCAGCTCGCAGAGTTATGTCCCCTTTTACATAGAGCAGAGGAGGTGTGTTGCCGCTCACAGAGTTATGTCCCCTTTTACATAGAGAAGAGGACAGTTCTGCACCTGAATATTTTGTTCATGGTTCGAATCCTGATTCAACTCTATTCTGATGCTGGGTTCCTCTACACCTGTGAGGATGGCTGTCATGAAGGCTGAAGAGGTCCCCCTCCCGGTGCCAGGGATGTAACTGACATGTGAAGGCTGACACTCATTCAGTGCTCAACTGGGCGATTACATCAGGATGGCGGCTGGTCGTTCACTTAGTAACTTAGTAACTTAGTAACTTATTATCTCAGCAAAACGGGGCGGTCGGGTTGCCTAGTGGTTAAAGCGTTCGCTCGTCACGCCGAAGACCTGGGTTCGATTCCCGACATGGGTACAATGTGTGAAGCCCATTTCTGGTGTCCCCCGCCGTGATATTGCTGGAATATTGCTAAAAGTGGCGTAAAACCATACTCACTCACTCACTCACTCAGCAAAACATTAGTTTAAGTTACAACACCAGACTTGATCCATTTTTCATTTGTATTTTTCAGAGTCCAAGTTCACACGTATCACGATGTTCGTCACGTCAGTCGGATGATTTCGATCTGAGTCGTGAACAGACTGGCGATGAAAACACAGACAACTGGCAAGGTGAGCTTCTTCTATGTCCCTTTGGTCCAAGGTCACGGTCACTTTTCTGAGATCTTCCAAGGTCACGGTCACTTTTCTGAGGCCTTGGCTCGAGGTCACTTTTCTGAGGCTGTTTATTATAACCCCGATCTGAAAGGGTCATAGGTATACCAAGGAATTCAGTCCATCCTTTCTTCTGTCCGTCCTTCTGAGGAAATTTTTGTGTATGACCTGTAACTTTAAAACTACTCCCTAGAATCTTTTCAAACTTGGTGAAAAATTTTTATACCCGTAGAAGAGGTGCAGTGTGAAGTCTGATATCAATATTTGGATTTTCTGAAAACTGATACGTTTGTGAGACCTGTATCTTAACAGCTATGTCATGGAGTCCTTCCCGTGCAAAGTTTGATTTTGAGTTGCAGTTTTTTTTAGAAATATTGCTTTTCCATGTTTATAACTTAGAAATATGTTGGAGTCTTGGGTATTAGTAAGCCATGCTCACTTTTTGTCAAATTTATTATGTTCTTATTTAGTCTTATAGACATACCAGTCTTCTCACTAATCACAGCCCCTGCCCTAACTGCGACCCCTCCCTTAACTCCGATCCCTCCCGTAACTGCAACCCCTCCCTTAACTCCGATCCCTCCCCTAACTCCAAGCCCCAAACCGTCCTAAACCACCCGTCGCCCACCCCCCATCCACTGTATTGGGGTATCTGTTGTCACGGGAGACGTTTGAAAGCAGGCATTACTTGTTTAAACATATCTCCACTCAACACTTATCACTCTGTGGAGGCCTGTGTACACTGTCCTATCTTGATATCTGTAATCACATGTTTGACTGTTGTGTTTTTACATTTTTAATGTAACAAAGCTGAGTTTTATCTTCTTGCAAGTTATGTACGGTATCTCCAACTGATGTTGCTGAAAATAACAACTGTGACTCTTTTTATGTGTCGTCCCCTATTTTTAAGACCAAACAACTGTGGGAAGAGAGACATGTGTTGAGGAAATTCCTTCAAATTCTTTGATAATGCAACTCACCAAATAGATTACGGACTCTGTACATTGAAGGTATGCCCTTTCCGCTGTGTATTGGACAGCGCCACATGGTGCCAGCCGGAGGAACTACTTCACACGTCTTAAAATTTTACGAACAAATGATGTCAAGCTGATTGGTTAAATTTTTGCGCTGTGTATTGGGGCAGCGCCACGAGGTGCCAACCGGAGGAACTACTTCACACGTCTTGCTTGAAACTTGACAAACAAGTGATGTCCAGCTTTGGAGAATAGCATTATTTTGCACGGAGATTAGAAATTGTGTACTTTACGTCGGATCTCGCTTTGTGAGTGTGCAACCTTACGAATGGCTTCACAACTCACATTATGGGAGTACACACACACACACACACACTCACACTCACACTCACACACACTCACAGGCAAACATGCTGCACTGAGCACACACAGACACACACACAGACACTCAATCACACAGGCAAACGTGCTGCACTGAGCACACACACACACAGACACACACACAGACACTCACAGGCAAACATGCTGCACTGAGCACACACACACAGACACACACACAGACACTCAATCACACAGGCAAACGTGTTGCACTGAGCACACACAGACACACACACAGACACACACACAGACACTCAATCACACAGGCAAACGTGTTGCACTGAGCACACACACACACACACACACACACACACACAGACACACACACAGACACTCAATCACACAGGCAAACGTGTTGCACTGAGCACACACAGACACAGACACACACACAGACACTCAATCACACAGGCAAACGTGTTGCACTGAGCACACACACAGACACACACAGACACACACACAGACACTCAATCACACAGGCAAACGTGTTGCACTGAGCACACACAGACACAGACACACACACATACACTCAATCACACAGGCAAACGTGTTGCACTGAGCACACACACACACACACACAGACACTCAATCACACAGGCAAACGTGTTGCACTGAGCACACACAGACACAGACACACACACAGACACTCAATCACACAGGCAAACGTGTTGCACTGAGCACACACAGACACAGACACACACACAGACACTCAATCACACAGGCAAACGTGTTGCACTGAGCACACACAGACACAGACACACACACAGACACTCAATCACACAGGCAAACGTGTTGCACTGAGCACACAGACACACACAGACACACACACAGACACTCAATCACACAGGCAAACGTGTTGCACTGAGCACACACAGACACTCAATCACACAGGCAAACGTGTTGCACTGAGCACACACACACACACACACACACAGACACACACACAGACACTCAATCACACAGGCAAATGTGTTGCACTGAGCACACACAGACACAGACACACACACAGACACTCAATCACACAGGCAAACGTGTTGCACTGAGCACACACACACACACACAGACACTCAATCACACAGGCAAACGTGTTGCACTGAGCACACACAGACACAGACACACACACAGACACTCAATCACACAGGCAAACGTGTTGCACTGAGCACACACACACACACACACACACACAGACACACACACAGACACTCACACAGACACTCAATCACACAGGCAAACGTGTTGCACTGAGCACACAGACACACAGACACGCACACAGACACACACACAGACACTCAATCACACAGGCAAACGTGTTGCACTGAGCACACACACACACAGACACTCAATCACACAGGCAAACGTGTTGCACTGAGCACACACACACACAGACACGCACACAGACACACACACAGACACTCAATCACACAGGCAAACGTGTTGCACTGAGCACACACACACACAGCCACACACACAGACACTCAATCACACAGGCAAACGTGTTGCACTGAGCACACACACACACAGACACACACACAGACACTTAATCACACAGGCAAACGTGTTGCTCTGAGCACACACAGACACACACACAGACACACACACAGACACTCAATCTCACAGGCAAACGTGTTGCACTGAGCACACACAGACACACACACATACACTCAATCACACAGGCAAACGTGTTGCACTGAGCACACACACACACAGACACACACACAGACACACACACAGACACTCACACAGACACACAGACACACACACACATACACTCACAGGCAAACATGCTGCACTGAGCACACACACACAGACACACACACATACACTCAATCACACAGGCAAACGTGTTGCACTGAGCACACACACACACAGACACACACACAGACACACACACAGACACACACACAGACACACACACAGACACACACACACATACACTCACAGGCAAACATGCTGCACTGAGCACACACACACAGACACACACACAGACACACACACAGACACTCACACAGACACACACACAGACACACACACACATACACTCACAGGCAAACATGCTGCACTGAGCACACACACACAGACACACACACAGACACACACTCACACAGGCAAACATGCTGCACTGTGCACACAGACGCACACACAGGGATATATGTTCTTTATGTTTAGTTTCTTGAAAAACACATGGCAAGAGAAATTTACGAAATGTCTTTTCATAAGAGACGTGGGCCATTTTTAGCCTTTGTTGTAAATTTCACAATGGTTTATCTGAGAAAAAGAAAAATCTTGATATGGCCGTGATGTGAATTTAAACCTAAGTCTAGTTAATCTCTGGACTGTTTACATGTGAAGTGACATACTAAAAGTATTGACTTTTGTGGAGCTTGCTGTGTTGGAGATTGTTGTTAGAGAGCTGCTATTCTTGGAATCGGTATCGGTGACAAAGGCATTGATTTATTGACACTAGTGGCAGCCGCCGGCCGGTCTCAGTGTGTATTGTGTCCTGTGCACCCACTGAACTCCGGATGTTGTTTGTATTTGTGTTGTGTTGTGGGCTAGCCTGGAGGTTGTATTGTGGACTAGCCTGGAGGTTGTGTTGTGGGCTAGCCTGGAGGTTGTATTGTGGACTAGCCTGGAGGTTGTGTTGTGGGCTATCCTGGATGTTGTGTTGTTGACTAGCATCGAGGTTGTGTTGTGGGCTTGCCTGGAGGTTGTGTTGTGGGCTAGCCTGGAGGTTGTATTGTGGACTAGCCTGGAGGTTGTGTGGTGGACTAGCCTGGAGGTTGTGTTGTGGGCTAGCCTGGAGGTTGTATTGTGGACTAGCCTGGAGGTTGTGTTGTGGTCTAGCCTGGAGGTTGTGTTGTGGGCTAGCCTGGAGGTTGTGTTGTGGGCTATCCTGGATGTTGTGTTGTTGACTAGCATCGAGGTTGTGTTGTGGGCTTGCCTGGAGGTTGTGTTGTGGTCTAGCCTGGAGGTTGTGTTGTGGGCTTGCCTGGAGGTTGTGTTGTGGTCTAGCCTGGAGGTTGTGTTGTGGGCTAGCCTGGAGGTTATGTTGTGGACTAGCCTGGAGGTTGTTATGTGGGCTAGCCTGGAGGTTGTGTTGTGGGCTAGCCTGGAGGTTGTGTTGTGGACTAGCCTGGAGGTTGTGTTGTGGGCTAGCCTGGAGGTTATGTTGTGGACTAGCCTGGAGGTAGTGTTGTGGGCTAACCTGGAGGTTGTGTTGTGGGCTAGCCTGGAGGTAGTGTTGTGGGCTAGCCTGGAGGTTGTTATGTGGGCTAGCCTGGAGGTTGTGTTGTGGAATAGCCTGGAGGTAGTGTTGTGGACTAGCCTTGAGGTAGTGTTGTGGGCTAGCCTTGAGGTAGTGTTGTGAGCTAGCCTTGAGGTAGTGTTGTGGGCTAGCCTTGAGGTAGTGTTGTGGGCTAGCCTGGAGGTTGTGTTGTGGGCTAGCCTGGAGGTTGTGTTGTGGTCTAGCCTGGAGGTTGTGTTGTGGACTAGCCTGGAGGTTGTGTTGTGGGCTAGCCTGGAGGTAGTGTTGTGGGCTAGCCTGGAGGACTAGCCTTGGGGTTGTGTTGTGGACTAGCCTGGAGGTTGTGTTGTGGTCTAGTCTGGAGG